TCTTCTTTTAAAATAATCTACACAACCAAAGGAAATGGATCAAAGGACGGTCGAATCAAAAACTTATGCAGTGCTGAGGTATTGGCGATCCATCAATTCAATTCCGAAATCTGCGCACAAAGATGATACGTGCAACCTCTCATCCTTCCTTGGCCCTGATTCCCTTATGTAGTGTCTTGTAACTGTAAACCGTAATTACTTATTGTTAACCTTTAACAACTTTTCACGATTATTATTCATGAGTCAGTTGGAGCTAGACCACCATGAAAAACCTGGAAGCACTGAGCGACCGGTTCGTCATAGTATGGGACTTCTCAGCAGTGCACATCCATGATCCTGCCCTGTGAGAACGATAGGTCTCGCTGGCAAATGCTTAACCTCTAGATCACTGAGCCGGCTGGCATCCAACGGTGTTAATATCTAACTTCAACCAATCCACCGAATTGAGCTACCGTTCACCATTGTCTACAGTGAGTTACCATCTTACAACACCCCCAGGTGAATTTCACTGGTCACGGCTTCTCACTATAACTCCAGGAAATACCTAGTGAGCTTCAATTGACTCATGAATTCAATTATTAAATTAGTAAAACCTCCACAAAACCCCACTCTGATTATTATTTAGTTCTTATTATGACCCTTATGTTAACTTTCATAATTTTGACCCGTTAATTGTTTTCATCCTTTTGTTTTTATGTAGCCGCCAGATTATTGCGTCACGTTATATAATAATTCATGTCTCAGATCACTTTGTAATGTAACCTTTTCTATCCTCCCATTAACATATATTTATCATACAACTATAAATACGAATGTAAAGCCTAAAAAAATGATTTCCTCGAAAACATAATTTTCTTCTCTGAATCCTCTTTATTATTTTTATTCAATGACACAATGGGTGTAACGCCTATATTAAAATCAATAGTTCCGCAAATAAAAACTTGAGATTTCGAATTAGATTAAAGTTTTTTTTTTCAGAACTGTGAAAAAATTATTATTTTCGATAGATGAATAAAAATAAACTTTATCATATCTGATAATTGTCGCAAGTGAGACTGATATGTTCTGAGTTCGAGTCTTGTGAAGTGGGATCGTGGATTCGCACAGTTGAAGAGTCCCACATTAGGACAAAACGCGCGTCCAGTTCTTCTAGATTTTCCGTGATTGTCTAGATTTAATGGACTCATGATTCCAACTATTAAAATTATTATAATATTCACAAAAACCCCATCTGATATTCATTATTATTTTAATAATTACATTCTATTTAGGTGTCAAATTGAATTTTATCAGCAAACGTAACATAGAATAATAGTAGATTCACTATTAAATTAAAGAAAAAGCGAAATTTTTCTGTGTTTTTTTAAAATGTTGATTACATTAGTTAAAATTATCATCAATAGAATGATATGAATTTTTCAGAAGAGAAAACAAAACCGATTAATCAATAAATAGCACACATGGAAACTATTGAAAAGAAAAATCAATGAAAAATTTGTTATGAATATTTTACACAATAAAATATTATTCAGACACTGTCTAGTTAAAAGTTAAAAATTATTACTTATGTAAAAAAAGATGTTACTTATTTCAATATTTTAGTGAATCCATGTAAATGAATGAAAACAAAATGTGCAATGATTTAAATTCAAGTTTTTGTTAAAAAGTCAAATGAAAAAATATGTAATGAACTAGATAGACTACTTACTAATTTACACCTGTTATTGCACGTTATGGATGAGTGTAGGTCACTTACAAATATTCTTTATCCAACTCCGTCCTGAACAATTCTTTCCAGTTATTTCCAGTTGTTATTCATTCTTTTAATGTTTGTTTCTAATTCTCGATGAAATTTGTTCCTTGGTCTTCCTCTTGATACAATTTGCTGACTCCCTTAATGTATTTTCTATCTACCTCAAGCATCTTTTCTTAATTTCCTCTTCAGATGGAATCGTGTTTGTTCTCTCCCACAGTAGGTTGTTGTTGTTGGCACCTGGTCGACGGAGATTAAGTATCCTGTGTAGAAAATTGTTTATAAATACTTGTACATTTTTGATTATGGTTGTAGTAGTTCTAGAAGTCTCAGCTCCGTATAGTAGAACTGTCTTGACGTTCGTATTGAAGATTGTGACTTTGCTATTAGTTGACGGTTGTTTTGAGTTGTATATGTTGTTCAACTGTATGAATGCAACCCTTACTTTGCCAATCCTTAGCTTCACGTGTACATCAGATCCTCCTTGTTTATCGATGATGCTGCCTAGGTAAGTGAAAGCATCTTCCTGTTCTAGAGTTTCTTCGTCAAGCTTGATTGAGTTGGTATTCTTCGTAATGTATCTGAGGTTCTTGCTTTTTCCTTTGTGTATGTTGAGGTCAACTGATGCAGAGGCTTTTACTACACACTACTTTTGTGTGATCTATAGGGAATAGACTAGTAAAAAGAGTATTTTCGTACAATTTTTTTCATTTGTCAACTAAAAATAAATAGGTAGATATGACAAGACAGTTTATGAAACAATAAAAGCGATGTATCAACATTAATTGGCTACTTATTATTAGCCAATATCATAGTGTCTGGTTCTTAGTCCTGATCGAATTCAGCGTTGGATTGTACCGATTTGTTCAAGTAGTTCAGAATTGTGTTGGTAATTACCTGGTAACAAATAGTTTAAGTTGACTAACAGAATCCAATGAAATTAAGTTTTATGGTAAATTAATACTTATTAGCAAGCGACTGATGCCTCACATATTCTGAATCGTGTCACGGTTAAAGACCTTACCACTGAGTTATTTGGGTTAGCTTCGGCTTCTTGCAAGACGAATGTATTTACTCTACTTTATCACGTATGATTAAGTGTTGTGTTCTTCTGGTTCTCAATGCTAATCGACTTTTATCGATCACGTTGCCATTTATCCACTAGCCTAAATGTCTGGCCATCATGGTACACATTTTCTAATGTGAGATAGCTGAAGCTAGAAGGCATAAATACTTAGAGCTAAGATTCATACGAGTTGGTATTCGATTTTGTCAGCATAATGATAGTGATGAGATGATACTAAAAATTTAAATTCAATATTTCTTCTGCGGGTCGTTTGGTGAATGCATTATCATACATCTCATTGTTACTTATAAGATTCACACTCATGACAAATTTTCCGTTCGCAAAAAATCAGACTGTTATCCTCATAACTAGACATCAATGGTAATTACTACTTGTTCATATACATTTCTTGTTATTTTGAAAGTCTATGTAACTTGGACCATAATTAATATGAATGGAATAAACATTGCTCATCGACATTAGCTAGAGAGGTTGTGCAAATCCGATGTGATTAAGTAACAATTTTGTCATTGCTTTGAACTATTTAGAAAGTGTAACTTGAACAAAATCTAACCAACTGTTAATTTTATGTCATTTACACAAAACAAGAATTGACAGATTGGTGGAGCAAAATAAGTATTATTGGTTGAGTAGTAAAACACGTTAAGTAGTAACCTTCACGGAGACACTCAAGTTAAGACGATAGAACCAAAGTTAATTGATTTAAATTCACAGATTATTTGAAACTTTATAAAAATAAAGACAACACGTTTTGATTGCCTCTTTCTAAATAAATTGATCAGGAATCTAGCTAGAACAGTTTTATGTACAAATATTCATCTTAAGGCGAAACTCTAATCAATTTTAAGTGAGGCTGATAAGTTTTCTTGGAATGGATTACTCTGATATAGTCATTTAGTCACAAACATTTACCAAGCTTAGGTAGGGTAGTAACCATCTGAACTCTGGAGTTCAATCGATAATTTATTGGTGTGTGAAAAGAAAGGTAGCGGTTCCGAGTTTCAGTATGGACTTCCACACTGAGATGTTTTTTTACCCATCTAATGAGCCCAAACTAAAACGAACACATGTATTGCATTCCTCTGCTGGACACTACAACCTTAATGAAAACTTTGAAATAAATGAAATTAACGAGTTACTTCTCTGAAGATGCTTATATATCAGTAGAGACTGATCATTTGCAATCCTTAGAATGGACAACGGGAAACTAAAGCATTTCATCTGATCATAGTACACTAAGAATGGGCACTATTTTTTAAATCAAAATTGAGATTCATAGCATAAATCATGAGTATTCAATAAAATAGCCAATTTAATATTAATTGGGTATAAAAATATAATGACTTGTATAAGCAATCTTGATTGTGACACAGAATGTGATATCATATATGTATATGCTTAAAAAGATGGCAGTTGATAGTGTTGAATATTCCACAAACGAACGTGCATATATTCCAAGTTTTATGTTAACCCTCACTAACTGACGAGATTTTAAAAAATGATTGAATGTAGGAATTATCAAACATGCTTATATGTTTTCATTGTCAGGAAATCCAAACGGTGACCTATGTACGAACGTTAAGTCCCCGCTGGTTAGCACCAGCTGTGAACTTCAGAAGTTCTACAAAAGTCTAATTTTTCTTAAAGTTACTATTCATCAAGTCAACTTTTGTTTATTCTACCCATGTTTTGTTACATATTTGAGAAACGAACACAAACACAGTTGTCTGAATTTATTGATTAGATTTAAATACTAACTACTTTCTGTAATTCACATCACTGCTGTCTACCATAATGATCCAGTTAATACTTAACTACCTAATGCTCAGTTTACTTAAAACTAGAAAAACATACTCCTAGTACACCATATTTATCTTTAACAATGTATTCACATTCAGTATTTGTATTTGCCCAATCATATCTTATTTGGCTCGTACAGTTGACCTGTTTTGTTACAATATGTAACTTTCAAATAACATTAGCTAATGACCTGACTTCTTGCAATATCATGGAGTTACATCTTATTGATTTAACTGTGAAAATCATTATATTTCGGTACATAGGCATTTTCTGTAAATAAATCAATCATCTGAATAGTGAATATTTATTGAGAGAACAAAACGTATCTTTCTTTTTTGTTCAAATATATGGTATATCTAGAGCCTGTACAAACTTCCTATCCAACAGAAGATTTAGTCGAAGCAGCACGTTATCTTAACATCATGGCCGGAACACAAGAACTTGATCGTTTATTGGAAGAATTACGTTTAACAAGTATGAATATGGCCGCCGGTCTTCCGCCTCCATCTAATACACATTATAATTCCAAGCCATATTATTCTTCACAAACATCACGGAAACAATTGTTTCATGATGAAGTTTATCCAGATCATCGATATGCTCCGAGTAGTAGGTCTGCTTCAGTCACTGGTTACAATACTGATGCACATAATTTTAATGATTCTTTACACTCAAATTATCACAAACATTCAACCTTTTATTCAGATCGAATAGATAATATTGTAAAAGGTACCAGTAAATTTAATTCTTTTTCAACATCTCCACGACATCAGTCGGTATTTACGACAACACTGAAACAACGTCCACCTGTTGCTCCTCGAAAATTCAATCAAATTCATTTAACTATTGATCCCGACTGTGGAACCACAGACGTAAGTATGAAAATCAGTCTTTTCACGTAATCATTTTGATGTTTTCTCGGACAAATATTATCTTAGACTTATACGAATATTATCACACTGATTTGTAGCACAGAAGTAAAACATGTAGATACAAAGTAGTTGACTAAGAATGCGTTATCAATCAAGTACATATTGCATAATTATAGAAAACGTGCTTCTCACGAATAGTTGGTAATCTGTGTCATGGAATTACTGCTCACCATTCGTTCAGTAAAACAAAGTAAAATCCCCTTCAAAACAGAAAAATACATTTACAACCACTTCAATCATACCATTCTTCATGACAAAATAGTGCTAACTAATCAGAAAGGCATGTCTGTAGGATTTCAATTTGCATCACCCAGCATCGCAGTCCGAGACATTATCTTTGAGCTACCCAGCCAAAACCCAAACTGTAGGACTGAGATATTTACACCAGTGGTTCTCTGAGTAGTAAACAATATTCCCCTATCTCTAAGTATTGATCGAATCTTGTTGACCAGATTACGATAGTCCTACCCATACATAAAATATCGTTTAAACTTATATGTAATCAATCCACTAGTTTAGATGTGTAAATAAAGATTAACCAGTTACTCTGAAAACGGCACGTAAGGGAGAGATAAATTTCATTAAAATAGGGGATATGTACTGCAGAGGAGTCTCATATTAGGACAATATAGCCATTTGATTTTCATCAGTTTTCAAAATCTCTTAGTGTTATCACATCTGTGAATTCAAGTAATACATATTCGAGGTGTATATATAAAACATCAGTACCCTGGTGATTGCAGACGAGCACCAATTATCACTAAACCTAGATCCAATAATGTTCCCTACCCATTGTATCCAACTACCTTACATTAAAATATTGTGTAGTCGATGGTAATTCGATTACACTAGTGGTCATACTGTAACCTGTTCGAAAGAATTCCATCACCATTAAGGAATAAACAAATATGATAGCCTTACCATACAGTAATCACTGAGTGTAAAGATCAAGTACCTTATGTTGCATTTAAACATCATCGAACATGTATAAGATCCTTAAGTTCCGGCTGTAATAATCTTGAGTTTGAGACTCCGATCCATAGTTGTTTCTGTAGTCATCATAACGAAACACAAAAGAATTGATCACAATTGATTGATCACTGGGTGGTGACCAATGTCATGTCATACAGGTACACCTTGCTGACGAGTGCCAAGTAGCACGAAACCCGGGTCCAGGGTTTCCTGTCGACTACCTCCAATCACCATCTAACAAAAGAATTGATTGATAAAACTGAAACCAAAGCAAACAAAAGACGACAGAATACACAATCAAAATCTTCATTTTATAGTCATAGAATATAACTAACTGAAGTAACATGTATTCATCAATAGTATTAATATTGTATTCCGTTATGCAGACAACTAATGTGGCTACACATACCCATACAGATGCACATATTCATATGTGCATTTGCATAAAAACACAGACTTCCTTATAAATCTGAATGACATTGAACTACACCAAATTAATGAATCGAATGAATCAGCTCTGTTTTTATTTTGCCTCATAAATTGTAGATTTTTTTTTCATGAAATGTTTCAAATGGAACGGATGTTTTAGGGTATGAAACAATAACAGTGGATAACATTCATTGTGATCTCTTCCTTTTTTGTCTTAAACGATGCATTTATAATTCTGCGTTAACGAGTTTCTCATTCTATAAGTGCTTTCGGTACTTCTTTGGACAGCGTCAGAGAAACTTCCTGAGTGTGCGAAGCAGTTTCTTCTTCATGATCAGGTTACAACAGCAACTTTCCTGAAGCTAATCTTTTCTGTCCAGCTTGCATCTATTGGATCTCATTTATTCTGAGCACAACCATGTTGTATCTCCTCATTTCCGTAGCTATATAGTTTGGTAATTTTGACTACATAACAAAATACTAAGGCACAAACCTATTAATTTACAGTGAAAACACTAAATAATTATGTCTTTAATGAATCATCATTGTAATATTTCTTTCATGCAATTAAAATTGCCCCCTAACCATGGTTATTTCTATCGATATTTACACTTGCCCTAATACAGACACCTCATATTTTATACATAACTGGTAAGTTAAGAGATTTTACAGTTTGAAATAAACTTGTGAATCACTGTTCTCTAAATAGATACACACATAGATAAGATATTTTCCTGAAGAAAAGTGGTTTAGGATTGATTTATTCATTGGTTTAGAAGTCATAAAATAAATTTGAATCAACTGGAAAGAAGCATTAATAAATAGTTACTATTCCTGATATTTTGGTAAAAGGAATATTTATTTCACGTTAACCAGAAACAGTCTCAGGAAATTTGACTGACTTCACAGCTTCGCAACCAACATATTAAAATTAACTAAAATTCAAAAGGAAAACTTTTCCGACAGAAATTACACACTAAAATGATCGGATGGATTAAATTATTTTTCTATTAGACCGACTATATGAAATAAATACATACTTGTTACAAAATACTTTGTTTCGTCTATACTATCCACTGTATATTGGTTCTATCTAGTCTCGTCCCTCTAATCCCGTAAATTATCACTATGTGGACTTTACCTTTTTTAAGCACTACATCCTCATTAATGACAAAGTTAGGACTAAAACGTCTTAACCCTCGTTTATTACATCACTGACCGACAATTAAATACCTATATGTAACTTGATGTGGTATTTGGTTGACGTAGAAAATTACGCCTTCGTACAAAAATAACTACCTTTTAAATTTTACATTTTAATTAGAACTACTTGTAAGTAGTGTATTATGTCTTAAAGCAATTCGCCTTAGCGTATTCATATTCCATTTTGAGTTACGTTATATATCGATTAACACTCAAGTTTAAAACAAAAGTTGAAGATTTTCATTTCGTATTTTTGGAATTATTAATGTAGAGATTTTGTCACTTAAATTAAGTTTTCATCAATTCGAAACTCATATCTTAGTTATAAGCAAAGATGACTAGTGGCTAGCTGTGGAATCCAGTACGTGCGTCTAGTCCTATTTGGGACTCTACAGATGGATTTACCTGCATCCCAGGGTTGATGTTCACTCCGAGATTCGAACCCAGTATTCTATATAGAACTATGGTAAACTGTTATTTAGTAGATAGGTTTTTAATTTCCCGTGTAGATATATGATAGATTTTGTGCATTAGAATTCAGTTTTTCAGATTTTTAACTTCAGTCCATTCGTACTGAAGTACAACAAAAGTTCAATAACAACGATGATAAATATTTCTACCCCATCATTATAGAACTTCACCAGCCACCATATCATGGTAGAATTTCAGTTATATACTACTAAATACAATGGTATTATTTTCCAAGGTGATTTTCGGAAATACTTTTTTCATTACAGCTGCAGATACACTAAAAGCGTAGTAGTCACTCGACTGCTTTCATGACCCTTTTATGATCCAGGCCGAAAAATTCCGTTTGCACCACTATCCCAGTAACGTCGTGAAACTTAACCAGTGTTGATCGGCTGGAGTTCCCCATTTTAGCGGACTCATAATAAAACCTTATTTTTGATCAACATTTTCAGTTTTTTGTTGTTCCGTTTCCAAATTTGTTGACCGTACATATCAAACCTTGTGGCTATTGCTTTATAATTGAACACTGATAATAAGGTATAAACCAGAAATAAATGTACAATTCGCCTTCTTGAATGTACGATAGTGTTTGGAATTACTCTAAGTAAAAATAGAAATCACTATTAAATTTATTACATAAACATAAATGAAGAATAAACTTTCATTCACCCCTTCGAAATTCAATTAACGTATTTATACTTTTAACTCTTTTTCAACTTTATTCTTTGTTTAAGGCACAATCCGCTGTTTCAGTTCGTCTTGAAAATAGTCATGACTCATTTAGACGTGAAAAAAAACTTGAAAATGACTTACAAACAGCAAGAGAAGAATTAGCTAATCTTAGACGTGCAATGAGTTTAGTTGATGAAAGACATCAACGTATTGAAAATATAAATGATTCTAGAAATTTAATTTCACCAAGTCATTCAGTACCAAGACGATCACCAAATATGGAAACACAACAATATTTAAGTACAAGTTCATCATTTCAACGATCTTATCAAGTACAACAGCACAGTACTCCAGGAAGGTATGTTTAATCTTTTAAGCACCGTTTTCTTTTTCATAAATTATCGTGTTGAAACCTTCGTTAACACTCCTTTTTTGTATTTTTCATAAAATAAATAGTAGACAAGAGTCATTTATTTCAGTCCTTTTTCTTATCGTAACTTTAGACATAAACATGATATGGTTATCATCACTTCTTAAATAAACTGTCATATATATATATATATATATATATATATATATATACCGTTGAAATTTCATTTTAATACTAAACAACTACCCATGGTGAAAATACCATCATACACTTATCTTTTTTGATGACCAATAGCTTTAATGTTTATGGAAGTATCATTGCTTTGAATTTCATTTTATACCTAACTGAAAGTGTATATATTTGATTTGACAATGAAAACAGATTGATAGATAGTGTACTATGAAAAATTTAGATTTCAAGAAAAATATAATCCTTTGTAATTGATTATTGAAAGTGATTGTTTTTTGAAAAAAATAAACTGAAATAGCATTAATCAAATTCATCTACATTATTACATCATATTATTATATAACAGTTCTTCTCAGTCTGTCTTCATTTCTCGGCATAATGTGTTCTTAGTCCTTTCTCTTCTCTTTTGGCCTTGAGAATTCCAGGTGATTGCTTGCCCCGTGATGTAGTTGGGTACTTTCTTCAATGTGTATCCTATCCACTTCCAGCGCTTCTTCCTGATTTCTTCCTCCCCTGAGATATGATTTGTCCTCTCCAACAGTGGGTTGTTGCTAATAGTGTCCGGCCAACGGATCCGAAGTATTTTGCGTACACGGCTGTTAATAAACACTTGTATCTTCTGAATGATGGCTTTCGCAGTTCTCCAGGTTTCCACCACATACAGTAGAATTATCTTGACATTTGTATTGAAAATTCTGACTTTGATGTTGGTTGACAATTGTTTTGAGTTCCCGATGTTCTTCAGTTGTAAATATGCTGCTCAGATATGTAAAGAATTTTACATCTTCCAAATCTTCTCCGCCAAGTGTGATTCCATTGTTGCATGCTGTGTTGTATCATAGAATCTTACTTTTCCGTTTGTGTATATTGGTACCTACCGCTGCTGAGGCTGATGCTACACTTTTCGTTTTCTCCTGCATTTGTTGTTGCGTTTTTGATAGAAGAGCCAGATCATCTGCGAAATCTAAATCGTCCAGTTGCATCCTAGCTGTCAACTGTATCCCATGCTTTCCCGTAGGTGTTGACTTCTTCATGATCCAGTCTATCACCAGGAGAAAGAGAAGGGGTGAGAGTTAGTAACTTTGCATGACACCGGTCTTTACTTTGAATGAGTCTGTGAGCTTACCTCGATGCACGATTTTGCAGTTTAATCCATCATAGAAATTCCGTATGATATTGGCTATTTTCTCAGGCACGCAATAAAAGGCTAGCTTCAGTTATTTATTTAAGCAAATATTTGTTGTTATGACAGATTCAGATCTTTGTTAAGTTGTATTCATTTTCTTCTACTGGTTTACTGCACTACAAATTCTGTATATTAGCTTTCTTAAATTTCACACTTACTTGTTACTCCGTATAGAAATGATAATTTTTATTTGAATTCCGCTTTAAATTTCTTTGAATTTTTGTAGATGCTAGAAATACTTATCAATGGATTGTAAATTTTGTGGAAAGAAAAATCACAAATAACAAATACTACAAACCGTACAGAATTAAATTCGCATTGGTGTAATTGTAGTTAATAGATCAACATGAATAAATCATAAGCTCATAGGTTAGCTCTATGTTCGATTGATGGCGAACAATGAGTCGTTCATATGTTTAACTATTGTAGCGAAATATGAATATACTTTAGAACCAAAGTATTAGACATCGTGTATGCACATGACAAATTCATAAAATGTGAAGTGCTAATGAAAAAATAAATAAACGTTAGTGTTAAAGGGATATCAATGAATTTATAGTTTCTAAGAGAACAAAATCAATCTAGGGTTTAATGACTCCCATTGAATTTGCACAAAGTTTGACGGGGTTGATCCCATGAGGAACAGTGATGATATTAAATGATACCATAAATAACTATTGATTAAGAAGTCAAACAGATGGGAAACATCATTAAGGTATGTGGAGAGAACCACTCTAAACAATGTTCAATAAAAGTGCTTTGTCCTTTTCGAGAATTTCCTCATTCTTTTAGTGTGCCTGTACTCAATATTCAGTTTTGACCTGGAACGTCATTTAAATCGTCTAAAGCTACCCACAAATGTCTTTCGTGAACATGCTAATTTAGCGTTTTTCAGCTTGCTGGATGCAAAATCATATAAAGTGAAAGTTGAAGATTATGAAAAAAATCCCTAATGAAAATTCCGCTTTTATACGCAACATTCACTCACCAAAAGAACGGAACTTTGCTATATGATCTACACATTTCAAACAAGCAGAAGCAGATGAACTGCAAATTCATGGACACATATCCCATCCCATTAAGAAAATAATAACATTACTAATGATAGGTCAAGATCAAGTTCAGACAAAAATGATTTAAAGTTCTTCTGAACATAGAATTCATATTCTATTTCAAGCATAATCAAACGTACTAATGTTCTAAGTTAGAAATTATAAAATCTAGGTAAATGCGAATAAATTTTGTAAACGACTTTTACAACAAGAAGTAACTTAGTATTAACAGTCAACTAAATGCTTGATGGTCGAACGTTTTCTCTCTCATACCTTTAGACATTAGTTAGATTGTATTCTTGCATGCGTGATGAAGATAACTACTGACTTCAGTTAATGTACCTTGGCTCACTGGAATTAATGAATAGATCGATACATATGTGGGCAAACTTACTTTACACACATACAGAAACAATTTCCGACTTATTTCAGAAAGAATTCCAACGCCAATCATCAATAACACAAACTTTATTGACCACAAGAAGTGAAACCCTTTAATATGCATCAATCTTTAACCTTTTCTCTGAATATTGTAGGATCTTTTCTGAGGACACTTCAGAAACAATCTACATGTTGTCGTTTTTGTGTTTCATTATCAATCAATCCACAATATTCAATTGGCTTAGATTTAAAACCATAAAATGATAAGTAAACTTAAACAGTAATTTTACCGACAACACATATTACTAAGAAAATAATATGAAAGTTTTTTTTTACAATTCATCAGTCAATTAACACTAGCACATCAAAAGTCGATCAATACATTCAGTTTATCATAAATTATTTACTCAATTAATTGATTGAAACTAACTAGTAACTACTCCGATACTACTTATTTATGACTGAAAAGTATGCAGTTTTATTTCGTGTAAATCAATGTAACAAAAATTTATTACTGTATAACAATTACGTCATGTGAATTATATATGTATTTAATCATAATTAAAATTTTTATATTTGCCAACTTAAAAATTAAAAGTACTTACATTGTTTTCATCATCGTCAGCATCATTGTCATGATAATCACAAGTAGTAAAAAACAGTAATAATCAATGATGAAAAACATATAGATTGTAGGTTTCATTCTTGCTGAATCTTCATTAATTAGTTACAACTTATCATTTGGTTTGTCAAATGATCTAAATTTAGCATGAAACAAAGATATTAAAAGTGATAACTGGGAAAATAACAAGGGTGAATGAACAATAAAATGAAAGTATGACTGAGAATAAGAGGAATATGAAAAAAAGTTAGAAAATACATGTAACCTAATGTGTTAGTCAGCACTTGAACTAGGACAAGTGAATAATTTCCACTACATCTTGCTCTATAATAAATATATATTCCATCTATTTCAACTATTATAAGTACTACTACTACTACTACTACTATAACTGTAAGTAGTTTTGGCATATTTCTATGCATAAGAATACAAGTGGGCTCAAGTGATCATCATGTCATAGACTCTCTCACTATATATATATATATATATATATATATATATATATATATATATATATATATATATATATATATATATATATATATATATATATATATATATATATAATAGTCTGTCCCTCTCACTCTATCGTTTTTATTTATCTTTGGTGTTTGGGGCATTGTTATGCCATAATTCCCATTTCATATCAATTGAAAAATGCATCATACACAATGTTTGGCCAGTGTCAATTCATATCAACAAAGAACGTATCCTAGGAAAGAGCCAACATGTGAGTATGGGTTATTGTATTTAATTTCTATGTATTTTATTTATAAGTTTATCGAAGATTTGGAGAATTACTCTAAACATATTTACTATGAAAATATGTACGGAACTACTGAGAATTTTATCACTGAAATTAGCTTACATTTTTCCAGTTCAATTCATGTAAGTAGAGGTTGATAGTGGCATGCAATTAAATTCAGGACACACGTTTCTCCCTATTTAGGACACACCACTTGGATGTGCCTGCATCCCAGAGTTGATGTTCACCTCGGAACTCAAACTCAGTACCGTTCGCTTCAAACGCTATCCACTTAACTACTGAGTCCAAATAGCCACTGGCTTGTGAAATGGGGTGAATTGTAGTCTGTATATATATTCAATTTATTTAGTTTCATTTATAAGATAGAGAACAATGTTATTATGTTCATTATTTGTTTGCTTGTATATCACTTTGAAAATTGATTTTATACTATGCAAAATCTTATATTATTCATAAGTACGTGGCCAATGAATACTTAGATTTTATTAATTTACCAATCGAGAAAATAATTCACATACGATATATCTCAAACTGACTGAAGATGAAAATAGGAAATACTATATTCCATTATGCAATGATTTATTGATCTATACATCAATGTTTAAGCATCTAATATCCTATGGTAACTGAATTATACTGTTAAAAAAATATCAAAATCTCAAACTAATGAAGTATACATTGTTTTCTAACTTTATATGATTCCTTAACGGATATCAGTCATATTAACGGGAATTACTCCCTACATACAATTACTTTAATATGGTTGTTTAATTTTGTTCAGTGAAATCATTAACGATAAATGACACAATCTTTTTTTCAACCAGCATAAAAGGTACATAAAAGTGTTTTAATTCATATTATAAAAAGATGTTTATATTTGAACTCAATAAAGTCATAGAAAAAAATTCGTATAGTTTACAGTTTGACATTTGTACGAAGTAATCTTTATAGATCGATACCTAAGTAGAAAAATATATATCCAACAACTGGTAAATGATTTATAATAGTGATTTATTCTTCATCTACTTCCTATCAAGAACCATATTGGACAAAAAACATTAATTTTTTTAAAAAATTTTCAATTAATTAGTGGAAATCGCTTAAGATTAGAACATATTGAACAGTCGCACTAGTTCCTAGACTATGTTGGTGAATACGGGTCAAAAATTACAAACGGTATTAATTATGTTTACGTTTGTTTTTACAAGTTAAGGATTGAGCTGTACTATTCAGATTGTAGCGTTAAAGCCTATACGATGTCTGGCTCTCCTGTTAAACGGGATTGAGCGGTATTGTACATCAATAAAGAATAGATGGGAAATAAATAATGTTTCTAGAAGAAACGACCATGCTTGTCTGAGCTTTCTTAATTTTACACACGAATCTTCAAACGCATCAAATATCCCCAGTTCAAAATAATAATAAAATCCCTATATGGTTACGAAAAGTTTTATACCAAAGAGACAGGAAACTATCGATTTATTTTTGACACAATAATATCTCATTTTTCAACAATTATAATAATGAAATGAATGTTTCTTAAGAATGAGAGAGTGAAAATTTAAGTTGTATTCCGAGATTTCATAGATTTTATTGTGAAGGAAGAGTATTAGTAAATAAAGAGATGTAATGAATAATACTGTCTTAAATATTTCAATAAAATCCAAAACGATAACACTTTATTTCTTAAAAAGAAAGGTTTTGTTCAAATTTGAACCGATAATATCACAACAATAACGGTCATAATAACACCTAAATAATAATCAGAAAGAGGGGTTTTGTGAAGGTTTTAGTAACTAAATGGTTGAATTCATGAGTCAATTAAAGATAACTAGTGACTGTCTTCAAGAGGAATTTCCTGGAGTTATAGTGAAAAGCAATGACTAATGGAGTTCAACCGGGTCTGTTGTGAAATAGTAACTCACTGAAGACAATGGTGGACGGTAGCTCAATTTTGTGGATTGGTTGAATTTAAACATTAACACCGCTGGATGCCAGCCGGCTCAGTGATCTAAAGGTTAAGCACTCACGCACGAAACTGATAGATCCTGGGTTTAAATCTCGCGAGGCGGGATCGTGGATGCGCACTGCTGCCGTCCAGTGTTTCTAGGTTTTCCATGATGGTCTAGCTTCAATTGACTCATGATTTCAACTATTAAAATTACTATAATATCCACAAAAGCCCTTCTGATATTTAAAAATGTAATTTTGTCTTTTATATTTTACAAAATGTTATGTTTTATATTTTATGTTACTTTGAATGTACTCAAGAAACTCCCAATAAGGTAATGAAAAATAGAAATGGTGCAAAGAGCCAATGTAATACTCATAAAATTGATAGTGATTGTACCAATATAAGATGTATGTGTTTACCTCTATTTTTAGGAGATAGTTTAAAATGACGTTTCAGATAATACTCTCGATATTCAAAGTATTATTTTTTCGGGATAAATACACCGTATTTTGAAGAAGGAAATGAAGTATTTTTTTAACACGGTAATGCTTGTTGTTCTCATAATCATTCCTTTCTTTCGCGTATTTAGTTGTCGCTTTTAAAATAAACGACCTATATGTAGATGACTACTGAAATCAGTAAGACTAGTGTACAGGTTTATAAATAATTTCCAACTAAATCAGTAATCAAGTTATTCTTCGTGTATTTGGCTTTGTGACACATTTTAAGTGAGGACTACTGAATAAAGTTGTCCTGAGCAAAAATCAATGAAGTTGAAACTTAACGTTAAGAACATTGTCTTTATAATTCCGTAAGCCTTTTATTACAACTGTTAAATTATACTCACTTTAAATCTACTTTTTTCCACTTCTTATAAGTATTCTGAGATATTTCATCATTTATACTTTGTATTTCTTTTGTATTTCACACTGAATTACCACAAATGTTTATTGAAATCTTTTTTCATATAACTTTTTAACTGATTTATTATAATGTTTGCATATGTATATAAAGAAGGTTATTTTGTTTATGAGTTTCCTTCATCAACTTTTGTTGTGATTTAACTGTATAAATTGTATTACTAACCTTTAAATGTAAACCCATAATATCATCTGAAATTAGAAAAGTGGACATAGTACCACTTCAGAGTGAGTGTATATATTATTCCAGATTAGAGTACAAACTGTACTTAATAACTAATAATTTGAATTAAATATAGAAGCAATAAGCAAAGAGACAGTTAATTCCTTATTTGCTGATAATCATTCATCACCAACGTATAACATTTTCGTACCTCATATCACCGTAATACGAAAGAAAATTGATATGATGAAAAACAAGAAAGAGAATCAATTTTGTCTGCTTTGAAAATATCAACATTTAAAATACAGTTCAAGGAAAATAAATGAGCTGGAAGAAGCTAAATCAGAAACCTCATTTAACTCGAAATTTTGATGAAAAGAGAAAGTGAATATAACTTGATCAGTATGATTGATCATGTACCACTCAATATAATGTTTCCAGCAATCATTTAAATTTTTGAGCAGACATCCACCCAGAAGTCTACAATTAACTGAATGACTCAGAAAATCAGTCAGTTCATTCATGTACTAATGCATTCTTTACTTCTTACTGTTAACTCATATGCTACTCTCCTCATTCTAATTTAGTTTCTAATCATCCTAGCAGCAAAATAAATCATCTTTGTACCATTTCTTAAATTGATCTGAAAAAGTGAATAATTTAAAGTTCTTTGTGACCACCTAATCTATATGATTTCAAGGAAATCATGAAATATGTCCAGATTACTAAATGAGGTGTAAAGATGTAGTTTGTAAAGTGTGAAGCTCAACAATTCGAGCACTCTGAAGTTTCTTTGAAACATACATTTACCCCTATATAACTAAATTAAACGGGATAAAAACAGCAAATGATAGATGATCATTAAGTCATTTATTCTGAATTGTAAATATATGTTTAAATTATAATGAAAAGTTAATGAACTAACAGTAAGAGAAGATAATCTAATGAACAATATATTTAACCATAGTACTGTAAAATATGCATAATTCCTCTAAATGCGATATACACTGAAGTCAGATTCCAACATATTTTAAATGTGTATTTGATCATCTTATGCTTAAAAACAATTTAAAGTTCCCACATATACCTACTATATCAAACATTTTATGAATTAAACCAAAAGAACTTGATACGAATATTCATTAAAATTAGAACGAATAGTTTGACAGAAATTAGGTGCCGAGTATAGAGAAATCATTTTATATGAAAATTATATTTGAGATAATCTCAGTGATTGAAATTTACAATAATTCCAACGTTTCGTCCAACTAACTTGTCTGAACTTCTTCAGAGTAATAATCAAAATCATCAAAGAAATATATAGCTTTTTAGCAATCAAAACTATACTGTGTTATACAAACCATATTTGGATGTGCTTCTTTTCAACTTATGTGTTACATCAAATAGTTGTTAAACACTTTGATATAAATCTGAATTAACATCATTATCATGAAATGTAATTTTCATATTCTTAACTTATTTATAAATAAATTTGGAATTTTGATTCTCTGTTTGTCACTTTTATTCTCGTCATTACTATTATTATCATTATTATCGTCTTTTCTTGTTATTATTGTTGTTGATACATCATTTTCTTATTACATTCATTAGATTGTTTTATTTCCATTTGTTTACTTATGTATACATATATATATCACTTAATTCCACCACCATCATTATGAGATTATTATGATTGGTTTTTCGCAGTATTTTTAAAAAATTAAAACAGTTGAATTGACGAGTTGATCTAAACTAGGCAACTATTGAAAAACTGGAAGCACTAAATTGTTGTTTCATCCTAGTATGAAACTTCTCAGCGGTGGTACATACGCAATCCGGCACGTATAATTTGAACTATGGGAATTTTGGTCTAGGCCTGAAAATAGAAAAGTCAAAATAAATTATATCAAAAATTATTCACAGTTCA